ATTTGGACATTTCATTCTCTCCATTTCTCCCATCCACAATCCATCCATACACACTTCAGTTTATATGGACTTGGTGTGGTGAGGTAAAGGGGAGAGGACTGGGGTAGTGATTCAGGGTAGCACCACTGTCTCTTCCTGAACACTGAAGGGGGTATTTGAACCCAAATTATTAGTGGTTTTTTTTAGAAAGCGGGGTACTTATCTTCAGCCTTGAGGCAACAAAAAGTCCGAGTCAATATTTTGTTACATGAATATATCATATCTTTATGTATAAAACTTCTTATTTTCTCTGTTATATGTTATCCTAAAATTTAGAAAAATAAGTTTCTTGACCTACAGCAACTTAAATATAATTCACAGTAGTTAAATATTTGGAAGGAAAGTGACTTTGAGAATGAAAAGGTAAATGGCAGGGGCAACTTTAGGAATCCAACTACAGATCTTAGAAAATCTCAATTTTTACACCATCTTGAAGAAACACTTATAATAGCACATTCAATGTTGCAAACCTCATAAGATGGAGCTTTAAACCAGTCTTCTCTCAGTCTTAGAGGAGTTAAACAGGTCCTTTGTTGACACAACTATTCACTTGTTTTGAGAGCCTTTTCTTAGCAGAAAGTATAAAGACATTTTATACTCTAGCATGTCTTAATTAGTACTTTTTTTTCAAACTTGGTCAAAATAAAAATATGGCATGTATTAAAGTAATAAACAAGATTAAATAGAAAGTATCAACAAATAAAAGTTTATAGTTTACCTTTAATTTCCTGACCAGTTATTGCTATTAAAAGTGTCACAAACCCTTATAGAACAAGAAACGAAGGATGGAAAATTAAATTTTAAAACTCGAAAGTTGGAAAAATATCTTAAGGTCTTTTTGAGAACTATGTAGAAATGGACACCTAATAACTAAAAGGAGTAGCATAAGAGAAAATTTCTGTCCAGCCTTAATTCATGGAGCAATCATCGTGTAACTTTGTATAATAAATGAACTAGATTATGATAACATTGCAGAATACAATATTTTATAAATATTTTTAAATCTATGGAGAAATCTTATCAATAAATATTCTTTAAATTGTCCTTTGGCAGTTTGATTTTTGCTATTTGAAATCTTTTAATTTTTAAAAATTCATTCAGCATTTATTAGACACCGACTACACATTAGGTACTGTTAAATGCTTTGGAGTGTATAAAGATGTATAAAATATAAAACATGGTTCTTTTCTCAAAGTCTTCCAGATTGGTGGTGACACCAGATAATGTACATACATAACTGTATGATAGAATAAAACCCACCAAGCCCCATAAGACAATCCAGTGCTATGGAAATTCAGAGAGGAAAGAAACTTCTTCCAGCAGGAGGAATGAGAGAAGGCTTCATAGAGAAGGTGGGATTTGAGCTGTCCCTTAAAGAGTAAATAGGATTTACATATCTTGTGATTAGGAGAATCAGCATTCCAGTGGAGGAAGCATTGTAAGTAAATGTATAGAGAAAAATTGTGTCGTTCAGTTAGTTCAGTTTGATGGATGTGTCGGGGGAAGAGGGAGAATCTCCCTCTGCCCTTTCCCTTAAGGTTCTTCTGGCTGGCCAAATAATTAACAAGACAGGTTAGCAGGAGAAAATAATACCAAGTTTAATAACATGTATACATGGGAGAAACTCAGAAATGAGCAACTCGCCCCTCTGTCTAAGCTGCTTGCTTAAGTATTGCAGCTAAAGATGAGGAACGTGTTGGGGGTGGGTAGTGGCCTGGGACTTCAGAGGGCAGGAGGACAATTCTTTTCAGGGTCACCTATAGATAATGTGGTCAGGGAGAGACAAAGTTTTCGATAAAAGGGACTTGGTGCCTTTCCTCTTATAACCTCTATCCTACGTTATCTTTACAGCCGTCATGATAGAAGATCTGTTCCAGGAAGGAGCCACCATGTCAAATTCTTTAGGCAGTTAGTGGGGGAGGTCAAATGTCCTTCAGAGAAAACAATCAAGGTAAAGAGAGATATTTCAGGGTGGCCAAATCATGATCTCCCACAGATGCATAAGGCAACCAAGGAGGAATAGTGGAACATGTGGCTGGACAGGTAGGTGGTGACAGTATGACAAGATGTGTATGTGTTGGGGGTTGTGGGGAGGCCTTGATTCCAGGCTAAGGAGTTTTAGACTATGTAAAGGAAAAGAGTGAAAAGTTTTTAGCAAAGAGAAGGAGAGAAGGGAGTTGACGTTTAAGCGGGTTATCTGGCAGTAACTGACTGATGGGGTGGGGGAAAGGACAGTCTAGAGGGCAAAGGAGCCTTTAGAAAAGGAGATTGAAATTGTGACAGAGAGTACTTGAGGGAGGAAGGTCCCAGAAGACAAAAGGTGATATAGTAACAAAAACCTAAGATGAAAGGATTAAGGTAGTGACAGTCATCAAATGTGCCAGGGAATGATGGAGTTAATGAATAAATGGGAGGTTAAAGATGGAGAGATTTAGAGACAGAGTGGTAGTGGTAGGGATAGAATTTAAACGTATTCATCATGGTTAGTTTCAATCTTTTCAAAAATAAGATTAGAGATTTGGGTATCTGTGATGAGGGGAAAGTGGATGAGAATGAAATGGCCCACCATGGCGTTTAGACTGGGTGGGGGGCAAGGGGTGGGGGTGGGCCAGGGATTACTGAGGCTGAAGGCAAGGTGTGGTAGGAGAGAGGAATTTGAGAATTTAAAAGGAAGGAATGTTGAAGGCAGAGAAAAAAACATCTTGTGTGAAACATCCTGGCTCAGAGGGCCCTGGGTCACGTGGACCCCGATTCCTCACTTAGCTCTGTGAACTTGGCAGTCACTGACCCTTGGAGTCTGTTTCCTCCTCTGTAAAATGATGACACTGCCCACTTTATAATATCTTTGAGTGAGATTTTATATACCCTCACCTCATCCAGCCCCACCTCTGACTTACGTAAAGTGTTCAATAAACAGTTTTGACTTTTTTCAGAGCATTTTTTTTAGCTTTTGAGAGGTTGGCAGGCATCCAGGCTGAGAGATGATGAGATTCTAATCTTCCACTGCTAAAGAGCCAGCCTGGTGGCTACAGATGGTAAGGGTGTAGTTTCCTGGGTTTTATTAACAACCATAGCTGGATGACTCTTGCTCTGCACCATTAAGTGGGGCTAAAAAATTGAACCAGTTCAGCTATTTTTATTAATGTAGACTTTAATCAAATAAAACCACCTGTGAGATGAAGGAAGTTCTTTGCAAAGTTGTTTTGAAAGACAATCTATTGTTCCAGATTTAGTTAGGTTAAACCCCCAACTAAAAATAAATTAAATCTAGTTACAATAGCAACAAGAATAATGAAAACAAAACTTGCTATTAAAGATTCTAGAGCCCTAATCCTTACACAACACAATTTCACTGCAGGAAAATAAAGTCAAAATGCTCCATAAATTACAGTGGGATTTTACCAATTGTTAGTGTTCAAGTCCCTCAAATAAAAGGAAAATAGAAACACACGTCCAGACACAGGTGGATATACTTTTAATAAGTAAGTGGAAAATGAGTGCTCAATACCATATCCTTTCTGTAGGAGAAAGCATTCACACAATGATTTTTACTTTGTTGTATACAATATTTTAAGGTAATGTATAAAATATATTTGACACAAAGAAAGTGTTAGATGTTAACACTGCATAAATGAATCTTGATATGCCTATATGATGGCTTAGAAGCTTTTCACCTATTAGTAAAGCTAAGGCACTACATATTTTTCCCACAATATGGATTTGCATAATTTCAGTTGAAGTAGTTGATCTTGTGTGCTGTGATGCCTCAAAAGGCATCTTGAAGACTCACACATCCCCTTGGCACTTGGCAATGCAAGAGGAAAGTATTCTTCAAACCAAAGCAAATCAAAGCATGGGCAACATTTAGCCTAATTTCTAACAAAAGTTATAGACAGGTGTTTTTTTCAAGCTTCACCACCAGGAGTTGGGAAACTATGCGTGTGGGCCAAATCCTGTCTGTGCCTGCTGTTTTTGTAAATAAAATTCTTTTGGAACACAAACATGCCATTTGTTTATTATTGTCTATAGCTGCTTTTGTGCTACAATGGCAGAGTTGAGTGGTTCTAACAGGGACTGTCTCACCTGTATGGCTTAAGGTATCTACTCTGGCCCTTTACAGAAAATGTTTGAAGGGGTGTGGTGAGAAGCACTGAATGCCAGAGACAAGTCGGGGGCGGGGAGGCACTCTGACACTGGGCATCTTCCTAGTGACCTGGTGTCCAGGCACACGGGTGGACACTCGGTGAGTGTTTAATCCATTTGTTTATCCAGTGAATCCTGGGACTTGTTTGCCTATTTGGGCAAAAAAGAGCTGGCTCCTTTGGCTCCTTTAAAAGCAGCTTAACCAAGCTCAAAGTTGTCAAAGGTAGTGAGTGACCTTTTCATCCAGATTTGCCCAGAACTGGAAATGCCCTATGCATATTTTGTTTTAATATGAAGTGAATAATCAAAATAAGTTATAGATGATTATGGTTTTAACACAGCCTAACTGCTCTTCCTATTAAGTGGGTCATTGGAATCTTCACTTTATAACACTAGCTAGAGGCTTTTGTGATTAATCAATCAGTTGAGAAACCAGATGATTAGACCCATGTTTCATTTCAGTCACTATTTCTCCTGTGCCCTCTGTCAAGTGGGGCGCCAGGTGCAGGGAGCCCCCATGAGCTTTTTTTTTTTTTATCTCATTTTACTTGTCAGATAACCACTTCTCCCCTCCATATTCCCGGCTTTATGATAAGCAGGATTGGCCAACCACTGGCCATAACAGCAAGAGACTCAGCACAATCTTTAGAGACATAGATGTGAAGTCACCATCACACAGGGAAAGGTATCTGCAGGGTTACGTGTGTAGGCTCCAGTGGTGAGTTCTGACGTCAAGGTCACTGATCTTCAAAGGAGTCTTAGGGGAAGAAAATAGCAACAAGCAGCTCTGGGGGTGAAATAAGACACTTGGGTTTGTGTTTGACTCTCAAAATTATGTTTAATGAAGAAATCAGTGAGACACACCAGGTAAGTGAGCTCTGGCTGTTAGACGTTTTTCTTCATGTTGCTTTTGGTTCTCAGAAATGAAAGTAAACGCAAATTACAAATCTTTGGGTATGAGACCCAGTCCCGCTACTTCCCTTCTGTGGATATATTAGTGATAAATGAGCAGCAGAATAAGGGTTATATTAGGGGAGAAAAAAGGATTCTGGTGGAAATGAGACCAGAGGTTCCTTTTGCATCTGTCAAGAGTATTTTCTGAACCCTCCAAACCAGACTCCTGCACAGAGGGTACATGCAGTTTATATTTTCATGCTCTGTGGATTAATTTCGCAATCAGTTTCATATATTTTAGTAATTTTCTCTAGAAGTTAGAATATTTAACATTTCACAAACCCCAGAATATTACAAAGTATTTTGATTCTTTTAACTTAGTCCAGACGCAAGAAGCCAGACTGTATTTTAGGTGGTGACAGAACTGTTTGTTTAAAATAACAATTTCAAGTGATTTTGTGGTCATAAAATTGATAACGAAATACCAATTCCATCTCCTCATGTACCTCTTTGCAAATGTAAGACAAAGCAGAGTTTTATAATCTTTTAATAATTTGTGCAACAACTGTGGTTTTGGTGTATCTCAAAGGTGGGATTCTTTTAAATTATAAAGGATTTTGTGTGCTTGAAATCCTGGGAAAAGAAAGAAAAATCAAGTTTAAATAGAATGTATTAATTCATAATTAAAGAAATATATATAAATCTTATGAGTATAAAGCTACATCCACTATGAGAATCTTACAGGTATAAACCAGCATATATTACATCTATTTTATGGGGAATTAAATAATTAAATGCTAGGAGACAAGGTCTTTGAAACTTTGCCTAAAGAGTAAAGAAGCAGGAATGGGAATCAGCAGAAGAAATCTTGTTTGCTAGGGGTTTGCTCCTGGCGTCTAGTGCGTAGAGGTCAGGGGTGCTGTTAAGCATTCTACAACGCACAGGACAGCCCACCACAGCAAAGAATTATGTGAAATTGTAAGAATTCATTACGTAAGAATGATAAGAAATTGCCATTTCTTACATAAATTCTTATATAAGAAAATGTCAATAGTACCAAGGTTAAGAAACCCTGGTCTAGGGCAAAACTAGAATTGGAGACTAGCTCCCAGCTGATGAGGGCAACTGAGAGGAAGACAAAGAAAAAGTAAAAGGCTTCTCTTCTTCCAACTCAGCCACAAAGCGTCTGTTACTGTTTGGTGGGATGAGATTATTTCATTCCACACTCAAGGAGTATTTTCCACAAATTGTAGGAACAAATATGGAGTTACATATTGCTTGTCTGCTAATTAAAGAATAGTATGATTTCAGTGTAGTAAACTACAAAATAAAGTGACTCCTGTGATAGAATCTAGAGTAGACAATGGAAAAAAAATTTTGACAGAAAATACTCTATGGAGCATTAAGTGAGTCTTAAATGTAGTGTTCTTTAGAATCACTTAACGTGTTTAAAATACTGATGTCTAACCCCCAACCCCAAGCCCTACTGAAAGGAAATCTAAGAGAATCCCTGCCATAGAGTACTAAGAAATTCAGGAAACCAGGACTCCATTTCTTAAGAAAGGGCTGAGGCCTCTAAAAACATTGGAAACCTCCCTCCCCACCTCCCCCTCATATTCCTGAAAAAGAATCCAGGTTAAATATCTATCCAAAGAGCTACAAAATCTGAGAGATGATGGCATTTACTGCTTCACTGTAGTGCTTACAAATACAAAAGTACACAAGGTCTAAATTATGTTCCCTAAACCATCTGAGACAGATAATTATTGCATCACTTCAAGGATTTCTGAAATGCTCCTTTCAACAATAGAAGAGGATATTCCATATCCCTAAAATTCTCCAAGTGCTTTGAATAACCAAAGGAGAGTGCAGGAACCATGGATCTGCTTAAAAGTGATCTTAGCTGACAAGAATCAAGGTCCCTCAGTCCCAGCTCGGCCACTGTAATCCTGTGAGAACTTGTGTCTTAATTTCCTCATCTATAAAATGGAGCTGATAATACCAGACCTAAGGATGCTAGGGAGGCTGACTAACAATAGAAAACCCCAGGAGAGAAAACAATGGTATGGTAAAGCCCCACTGCTCTGCGTATGCTGGGCAACTTGATCATGCCATCCCAGACGGGGGATGGAAGCTAGCTCTTTCTAAAGACCAGCGGTAGACATGAGTACAAAATGTATTAAACGTAAAAATTCATCCCTTCCACACAGTTACTTCGCTTTCCTGCCCTATTCCCTCAACACATCCGTTCTATAAATATGCTTTAAACATACTCACATTTTCACTCATTGCAGTGGCTTTTGATGCAGAACTGCTCCTCCTGGTTATAGAATATAAAAGACAATATTTACTACATGATCACCTCCAATTCTGGAACACACGCCGTCTATTAGTTAATGCTACCTCCATACATTTTCGCAGCAGGAAGAGGAACATTTATCTTAGCCAGGTAGAAAAAAAGCCAGCAATCTCAACTGAATTTCTTATACACAATATTCACTGAGAAAGCCATGCAACAAAGTATCAGTGTGTGTGAAGCCCTGCCTATTTAATTGTAGCCTAGGGCAGGTATACTAAAGATTTTTGTGGAATGGGGACACCAGAGACTTAACTAACTTTTAACTTATCAATGATCAATGAAGTATGATCATTATAATCTCACAATTCACTTTTTCCATGGAAAGAAAGTTTTACATGGTGACTAGGGTTCCAGTCATCTGTTATGGGCTGAACTGTGTCTCCCTCAAACATTCATATGTCGAAGTCCCAATCACCAGTACCTCAGAATGTGACTGTATTTGGAGATAGGGTCTTTAAAAAGGTAATTAAATAAAAATGAGGTCATTAGGATGGGCCCTACCTAATCCAGTATGACTGGTGTCCTCATAAGAAGAGGAAATCTGGGCACAAACATAGAGGGAAGACGATATGAAGACAGGGAGAAGGCAGCCATCTATAAGCCAAGGAGAGAGGCCTGGAATAGATCCTTCCCTGACAGCCCTCAGAAGGAACCAACCCTGCTGTCACCTTGATCCTGGACTTCCAGCCTCCAGAACTGTGAGAAAATAAATTTCTGTTGTTTAAGCCACCCAGTCTGTGGCACTTGGTTACAGCAACCCTAGCAAACTAATACAACATCCAATTCATTATCCAACAAATTTTAAAGGCCATGAATTTGACAAATGGGAGGAGATTTGTCTAGGAATAAAGATATTGCCTCCCAGATCTGCCTGGGTTAACAGAGGCACTGTGATTGAAGGGAAGAATAACCTCCCTTACCACAGTAACGCCGACGTTTCCCCATATGTAAGATGATGTCTCTTTTCTGCTCCAAACCCTCCAATTACTTTCCATTTTACTCAATAAAAGTGGAAATCCTCACACTTGCCTAGGGTATGATGGGAAGTAGCTATATCCTCAGGCTACCTGCTTTTCTGAACTCACCCCTTTTGCTACTGCTAGTCCTGATAACTCAGACCTCATCCTGGACATGTACTGGGATATTATGAGGGTCAGAAACCAGCGCTGAGCAGCAAGTCTGGGAAAAGGAAATCAATGGCAGCTAAGTTTTCAAAAGACTTAGGAGATGACAAAGTATATGAAGCCATGGCAGCTGAGAGTAGAGGGGAATATCCATAGACTCAAAGCTGGGTTTGCCATTTCCAGACGTACAAGAAGGACAGTCACAACTCAAGTGCACATAAACTGGGGACTTTGGTGATCTCATGCCCTTAAATTTCCTAATGACTCCAAAATTTCTAACTCTAGTTAAGACATTTCCCCAAACTCCAGATTCATATACCGTTACTTACTGATTATCTCTACTTGGAAGTCTAATAGGCATCTCAAATATTAAAATTCCAAACACTCCAGACCTCTCTACCTACCCCACCACCACTCCCAAACCTGCTCCTCCTGAAATCTTTCACACTTCTGTAAATGGTAACTCCATCCTTCTCAGAGCCTTGGAGCCATCTTTGATTTCTCTCTTTTTCTCACAACCCACATCCAATCAATCAGCAAATTGTTAAAAATATATCCAGAATCCTATCACTTCTCAACATGTCCAACACTACCGCTTTGGAACCAGCTGCCATTTGCTCTTACCTAGATTATTGAATAGTTGCCTAACTGGTCTTCTGCTTCCTCCACCCTTTGTCACCCTATAGTTTATTCTCAACAGAGCAGTACGTATGAGCTTTAAAGAATTAAGAAAGATATGCTACTTTTCCTCTCAAAGTCCCCCAATGACCCCATCTTACTCAGAACCAAAGCCCAACTCCTCACAACTGCCTACAAGGGGCTCTATATGATCTGGCCCCCGATATTTCTGTGCACTCATCTCTTCCCTCCGTGTCCTCACTCTGTTCAGCCACACTGGTCCCCCTGATGTTCTTCAGATACTCCAGGCATGCCCAGCCTTGAGATCTTTCCACTTGTTCTCCCCCTTTGGCTTGAACACTCTTCTCATGGATATCTTCATGACTTGCTCCCTCAGCTCCTTCAGGTCTTTCTCAAACATCACCTCATCAGTGAGGCCCTCCCTAACCACCCTATTTAAAAGGACAGTCACCACTCCTACCCTGTGCATTCTCTATTCTCTCCTGCTCAATTTTTTTCCATAATACCTATCACAATCTGACATACTGTAGAGTTTATGTATGTGGTTACTGCCCACCTTTCTCTACTAGAATGTAAGCTCCATGAGGCAGAGGGCTTTTTGTCCTGTTTTGTCCACTGCTACATCGCCAGTCCCTAGGACTGTGTAGGGCACAGAATTGGTATTCAATTAAATGTAAAAATGATGGTTAAGTAAAATTTTATTTGAAAATTTTCAATTTAGCAAAATACAACAAATATTTTTTTTAAGTAATATTATGGAAATGCCTATGAAGTCAGATTAGTAACTATATTTCTTCTCTGGGTAATTAAACATCATTGACAAGGCAGGAGGTGCAATATATTTCTCGATAAACTTGAGTAACTTCCCATAGGATTAAACCTTCACAAATAACCCAACTTCCCACTTTTGACTTTAAACAGATAATTAACAGAAAATTAGCTGATATTGGGGGAAATATGAGGGAAAGACATGCATTTTAAGAAAATATACTTACTGGAAGGAGGTTTCTTCTACAAAAGAATAAGTACATGTCATTAATGCAATAGTTAATATGGTATGATACAGATTCATATAAAAGTGAATGTTGACTTAATTTGTGTGTCTCAATTTGATTCTCACTTGCTGACATTTGTACCTTCTAAATCAAGGGTTGACAAACTTTTTCTGTAAAAGGTCACATGCCAAGTATTTTAGGCTTTGTGGGCCAAGACGTAAAATCAAGGATATTATGTATATACTTATATAACAAGAGAGAAAACAAATTTCCAAAAATTTTTATTGATAAAATTCAAAATATAATAACAATCAAAGTCTTGTAGTACAGGTCTACTAATTAGAAGAAGGGAATTCTTTTGCGGGGATAACATTTCTCTTAATTGGAGTTTGAAGTTACTATTCCCTATTATCAAATAGATTGCAAATGTTCATCTGTAACAACCATTCTGAGCTTGTAGCCCATAGAAAAACAGGCAGCAGCCCAGATTTGGTCCACAGGTCATAGTTTGCCAACCCCTGTCCAAAATGCAAGTTCAAGAAAATGGTTCTCTTGGATAAATTTTCTGCCAGATGAAAATGGGAGTAACATTCTTAACTAATGAACTACAAATATTCAAGTCAAAGCTTTAATTAATTCAGTATTAAAAAAAATTTGTTTACCAAGTCTTCATTAAAAATACTCAGGTATTCTTTGCAAGCATAGATAAACATGACAAGCATTTTGAATGAGTGGTCTTATCTGTCTGTGCTGTCACTGGTGACCAGCAGGGGGACTCAGCCCAATTCCATTCATAAAATTATTGTACACTGGACTAGATTGGGGCGCCACACAAAAGAACTGCTATTAACTTACAGAGCAGTTATTCTTAATTACCACAGGGAACATCCTTGAAACCATGTTCAGGGAAACATTTTATGACACTAGGTATTACTAGAAACGCCTTTTAGAAACGCCTTTTAAATTTGTTTTCTTTTGGTATAAAATATCTTTTAAACCTAAATTCCAAAATTAATGTTCACTGTAAAACAAAGGGTCTAAAACCTGTTCATACTGTAAATTTATTTACTATTCTATTAAAAAATTCTACTTTATGCACTATTCCCAACAGACTTGATAGAGTTCTGCAGCTTTTGAGCTCTCAAATAATTTTAAAAACAGAGTGAAGAAATGCATTAAGAGACTAAAACAGCTTATTTTTTAATTTCATCCATTTACATCAAACCTATTTCATCACCAAATGAGGGTCTGGAGTTACAGGAGGTCTAAATTTGAAGAACTAAAAACCTTGCGTAGAAGTAACTCTAATACAATAGGTTTCTAGTTTTTACTGAACAATTCTCTTCTGAATACAGTTGTGCCAAATTTGACATTGAACATTCCACTGTTCCATAGTGATAAAACATTTTGCATATTTATTTCAATAAAATTTCTTATCACAAATCTAGGAATCAATTTACATGTTGAGATACACAATTCCTAACTTAAAAGGATCTTAAATATATGTCAATACTACCGATATCTGTCCACATTGACTATCCCTCAGGATCGCTGCACTATGCCACTCCAGGGTGCCTCTCGCTTGTTCTGTGGTGCTTCCGGGAATGCTGCCAAGAGGCAGCTCTGCCTTTCCTCCCTATGTTTGCAGGTGCTTCATGACTCACCTGCATGTCCTCTTGGACATTTTCTACTGCAGAAAAATCAATGAAAAATATTCTCCAGTTTCTTAGAACTTCTTTGGAGAAACAGTGTCTCATCAGAAAACTCTATATCCACAGGGAGTTGTCTAGCAAGGAAGGGTGAAACTCACTTACTTGAAAAGTAGCCTTTCCTCTGAGCATAGCACACGCCAAGGCCACAGACGGAAATCACTAAGGCCACAACTACTACAGCTGCTATGATGCCACTTATGTTGAGATCATCTGGAATGCAAAATAAAGCATGCATGAATTCGTGTTAGTAGATGCACAGAGGCAGTCATTAAATTGAGAAAGTTCAAAAATCTCCCCTTTGCTGCTATATCCATGTTCACCCATGCTTTTGAAGCCTGTTCAGCTAACGCATTTCTGGGAGACGTTTCAAAACTGATTGAAAATATTAATAGAACTAAGTTTTGCAAGAATCTTAAATTTACAAAAGTCCTCTGATCCAGAAATAAAATGTACGGTACTCTCTTGCATTCATTTGGAGATGTGATAATTCAAACAACTAAATATTAGGTTGAAAATGACCTTCGAAGTTCAGTGAGTTCAAGTACTACTACCACATCCCCCCAAATTCTACTTAAAATTCTTCTATATCATCATCTGTGTCAATTTCACAAATATGGAAAACTCATTCAGCTGCAAAGAAAGCTCATGCTACTGTTGTTCTATAAAACTACGTGTCAGAAACTTCTTCTTTCTGGAATTTAAATGGGCTTGTATGTATGTGTACACACACACATATACAAACCCACACACATATATGCCATTAAACTGTCATCCCATTAAGTTAAAAATGAATTAAACTCCTCAAGGCTTTTTCCTGCTGCTGTTGAGTCATCTCCCCTCTAACCTAATACAACTGGACTTTATGGACCCAAGTTTGAAATCACTACGATGTTACCAACTTGTGAAGTTTTTTCAGCTACAGAGTCTGTTGCCCAAAAATTAGATGATTAACCTTCCAAGGTTTATATCTCTGCAGTTGGGAACTGCATCAAAAATACTGTCATTCAAGTCATTAATAAAGTGAGGAACATGACTTTGTTAGGGAAAGAACTATGTAACCGGCTGTTAGACACCTCTCTTCACATGATGCAATTTATTAGCATCTCTGGGTGACAGATCAATCTACATGTGAATCTCTCTAAACATTTAATTTGTGTTACATTCCTCCATCTTGCCCATAAGGATTTCATGAGCCACACTCATCTGTCATTTAGATACTTCCTATGTATTGATTAACATGTAAATTACCTGTACTTTTTTTTCTTTCTTTTCCGTGAGGAAGATTCGCCCTGAGCTAACATCTGTTGACAATCTTGCTTTTTTTTTCTTTTTGTTTTGGCTTGAGGAAGATTAGCCCTGAGCTAACATCTGTGCCAGTCTTCCTCTATTTTGTATGTGGGTTGCCAGCTTAGCATGGCTGATGAGTGGCGTAGGTCCACGCCTAGGATCCGAACCTGCAAACCCGGGCCACTGAAGCAGAGCACGCTGAACTCAACCACTACACCACTGGGCCAGCTCCTACCTCCACTTTTTAAAGGAGCCATTCCTCAAAGGGTTCTTTTTTTTTTTAATTTTATTTATTTATTTATTTTTCCCCCAAAGCCCCAGTAGATAGTTGTATGTCATAGCTGCACATCCTTCCAGTTGCTGTATGTGGGACGGGGCCTCAGCATGGCCGGAGAAGCGGTGCGTCGGTGCGCACCCGGGATCCGAACCTGGGCCGCCAGCAGCGGACCACGCGCACTTAACCGCTAAGCCACGGGGCCCGCCCCTCAAAGGGTTCTTTTTAAAAGCAAGTATTAATTATCGTAAGATTAAACAACTTGGAGAAAATATTAGGTGGCATTTTCTAAACAGTAATTTTAGATATTTTAAAGCAGTATGCATTTTAAGATTTTTAAAGAAATATTATTTGAGTCTGCTTATCATAAAACTTTCTGGTCTTAGGATTCTTTCCTAATGCCAAATGTTGTTAATTTTCTCAGGTACCTCTGAAATATTAACTATTTTTTTAAAAAGGAAACTTGATAAATCTTTTGAGAGGCTAAGTAATTTGACCAGAGTAGGCAACATTAATTATTGCTTGGTATAAACTTAGTTCATATTTGCTTGGGCACTGAGAGGTCAGTGAGATTTAGCTATATTTTTTACTGGGATAAAAAATAGCAGAGAGGGAAAAAAATCCACAATAATCAAATCTAAGGCAAAATTAAATTAATAACTAATGAAACTCCTGAGAACTGACTGTGCCTACTATTTTCTTTGTAGTAGTCAATGAATTTGACAGCTACAAAGGGTTCAACCTAAGAGCTATTACCTGACAAAAAACTGTCCTGTGGTTTGTCAATGAACTTGACATCTATGAAGGAATCAACCTAATGGCAAATTTTGACAAAAAACTGTCTTATCCGGTAAGTGCTAAGTCATGGTATAAATTTTATTTTATTTTCTTCAATGAAATGGATGATAGAAGACTTGTAAGTTAGAGGTAAGTTGTTTTCATCCCATTTGGGATTTACTGTGAGATACTGAGCAAGTCATATAACACCTTATGCCTCACTAAAGAGAAAAATGTAACAACACACAGGAAAATATTTTGTGTTCTTTCTTTGGGGAAAAAAAACGGCCACCATAAAAGGAAGGTATCATTATTCTAATTGAGGGAAAGGAACCAAACAGCTAAAATGCTAAGTGTGAGTGGGGTCTTCTGGAGTTGTGCAATGAGGCAGCCTGGGAATAATTAGCAAATCCATGATTTACTTTCTATACTTCAAAAAGGACTTCTTAGAACAGTTAACAGATTCTGCTTTTGGTTACAAGTTATTAGTGATAATTCACAAAGAAAATTGGACATGAGATTTCATGAATTCTTATGTATTTCAAAAGATGTAAATTCCAAACCAAGGGTGTGAAACACCTAGGATCAATGGATGAGCATTAAACAAATTTTAATTTTTAAGCTAACTTATACCAGAAAGAGTAGATATGTGGAAATCATGTTCAAATTGAAGTAGTACTACCAGCAAAACACAAACTAGTACTACCAGCAAAACACAATCTAGTAAATTTTATTTGTTATATATTTATTTACTGCATGCTAGGAAACATGTAACTAGTATGTCGAAACCATGACATCACAGATATTATTTCTTAAGATGAGGATAAATTAGGCATTGAAATTAAGCATGACCACTTAAAAAAATAGTAATAGTGCAGGTGGTACAAGGTTACAGTAAAAACCATGAGGCTAGTGTGTGAATGAATGAAGTTAGGAAAACACTGGGTTCATGCATTCATTTTTAAATTTGTTCTGATGAATTTTTCTAATGATAACTCCAAAGCAGCATTGAGAGGGATACTTTCTGCTATTTTAAGCAATACTTACATTTGACTATAAATGGTAACACTTGAGTGAAATTAGTGGATGATATGTATCCCTGAATTTAAGAAAGACCTGAAATTCCAACTTACTTGTGGAAATTAGAATATACTATTGAATATCCTATACTTCAGGATACCCTGAAGTCTAATAAGATTATATTTTCTTAAAAAATAATGCTAAGAGTTCAACTGTACGTAGACAATACAAATTAGTACGCACATATCTGCATATCTCCAAGTCCAATGAAAAATTTCTGACCCTACAAAGCTGAGGGCAAGCTTCTGAACCAAGGGGAGCCCTCAGTATTCTACTTTAGGGTACAGTCCTCTTGAGTGACCTTTAATGCCTCTGGTATCATCTCCAGCTATCCCTCTCTTTCACACAACCATTTTCAAAACACATGGCTCTCACGCAAGGAAGAATTAAACCAAATTATTAAAAATAAAATGAAAAAGGAAATTTGCTCTGAAACTCATATAATCTGAAAAGATTCTTAAGCACTAATTTTATTGGATTCTAAGAAGCTTATTTTGTGAAATATAATATATGGCAGCTATGTTCTACAGCAAACTAGATCCGTAACTATATACAACGTGTCTTTTTTGAGAGCCTACTCTGAGATTAAGTGTAAGCATAGTATTTCAGGGATTGAAAAAATTATCCACAACTGATAACAACAACTAAAATAGCTACCACTTATATAGTGCTCACAATATGCCAGTGCCATTCTAACACTTTCAAATATTGATTATTTTAATCTTCATAACAACCCTATGAAGACGGCATATTATTACTTCCATTTTGGGGAGACTGAGGCACAGAGGTTAAATAATTTGCCCAAGAGTATGTAGCCAGTAAGAGGCAGAGCCAGAATCTGAATCCCCATACCAAATCCTTGACCCTGAGCAACTTATAGGACTCTTACCATTTGTTTGAAAGATTGCTATGAGCATATTTTATAAACAATTATGTGAAAAATTCAAAAATTTATAAAATACAATGCTAAATAGTCTCGGCTTGTTTGGGACATGGATTAAAAATAGCATCTTTACTCTTTGCAATACATTATGTCAAGCTAATTTTAAACATTCCCTCCCATTTATCCTTCAAATCACTCGGCCCTTTCCTACCCCTTGGTTCCTTCCATCCCCAAATATTTGCATGCTCTAATGGCAAACCATTCCTCCTAATATTTCATGCTTACCTACTTGCATTCGTTTCCCAGGACACCTGCGATGTCCAACAGAATTACGGGCTTCGCAGTAGTATTCTCCGCTGTCTAGTTTTGAAACAGTGTTAAATTGCTATTTGTGGAAGAAAAATATATACGTTTTTAAGCATTAAATCTACAAGTAGACTCCTAAAAGAATCTTGTCCCTTGCGTTTTAGCATTAAGTTGGTCTTTCCTTTTTAATGACTTAGGACTTTATATCTTTACCGTGAATTCAAAAATCTGCCACACCTTCGAGGAGTGCGTAGCTACGCCTCCTATTTAATTTGACAGAGAAAAACTTAAATATATATGGAGAAGTGTCTTTTTTTGTGTCATACTGAGAAAGTAGTACAGTCAGGCAGGCCATGGGCATTTAGTATTAAGTATTCTAGGTATTTCTAATTCCTAGGAGACGCCACTTGTAAATGAAGGCCTCCTTGGCCTAAAAGGGCTAATGCAGTTTTCTAAGTCACAGCGAGTTCACCGCGGCAGCCAAAAACTAACACTTCCTCTAAAAAGCCAGAGTTACTACCAGGAAGTAGCTTAGGGCCTAGGAAAATCTCACTCAATGTAGTTTATAGAATTATAAATTCTATCAGTTACAAAATATTTGAAAATTCTGAAAAGATAAAGTCTAACCCTTGCTCCTTCCACTCCCTGCGAAAGCAACTGAAAGGTAAGACTTTGATATAATAGGCTTCACAATTGTTAATAGTAGTTTTATCCCCTTGGAGAATTTGTGGAGAGAAGAAGGAAGGAAGGAGGATGGATAGAAGGAAGGAAGGAGGGAAGGAAGGATGGAGGATGGAAGGAAGAAACGAACGAACAAACGAACTAATGAAGGAAGTGAGTTAGGAGGGAGGGAGGGAGGGAATGCAATGGTCATGGACACGTTAAAGGATCCTGCAAGGACCAGTACAGAGGGGGAGGGGTTGCTCAGAATCATTCTTTCAGTAGTCGCCTGTCACATCCCCAGTACCACAGTGGTCCCTGCCAACAGCATCCATGAGAGCCATGAACCTCTAAGGAGCACCTCCTCACTGTGACAGATCCTCAGGTTATATCTGATCCTGAAAACAGCCAGGATTTCGACCTATTAGCTCCTTTTCTTCCCTCACTTTTCATTACTCACTACCTACATACCCCCTGTTTCTGTATACTTCATCGTGGGATAGAAAGCTTTTCCGTGTGTATTTTTCACTTTATGGAATCATCTCTCACTGTCCCCAGAGCCAGACTACTTTAAAAATATTCCCCATGAACTCAAGGCCAAGGTATGTGTAAACAATAAGTTAGACTAAAACCAAAAATGATCTTTTGGCATGTTATAACCGGTAATTAAAAGGAAGTCATTGTCATCTATACACTGGGGTCTTTGTCTGTTGCTCATTTCTCAGAAAATAACCCCTCCTAGTTCTGCCCTGGTGCATCCCTTTGACATCAAAAGATATTTCAAGAGTTGAGGCTAACTGAGGAAAGTGAGTCTCCATCATTTCAGACTTGCCTTGGGGCTTTTATCACCTTTTTTTAAGAAAAGATAAATTCGAAAAGTAAATATAGCCAAGTGTGACAGCAGGTTTTCTGCCCAATTTCTCAGTGTAAAATCACTTGGGCCTGCTGACTGAGCCTGCTGACGCTGAAGGGGCCAGAGCGTGGCCTTCCTCAAGGAGCAGCCACACCTATCCATATGCTATATTATTTACCAGAGGATCTAGTTTTTAAATGTTATTGTGCGCTTGTAGATTGAAGGAATGAAAAGAAACATTATACCCTCCTTTTAAAATTTCTAAAAATTATTATTATTACCAAGCCTTTAAGATTTTTTGATAATAGCTATGGTAGTGATTCTGCATTATTGGAAATCAGATATTTTTTTATTTTATTTTGTTGTTGTTTTTGCTGAGGAAGATTTGCCCTGAGCTAACATCTGTGCCAGTCTTCCTCTATTTGGTATGTGGGTTGCTGCCACAGCATGGCTGCCGACGAGTGGTGTAAGTCTGCGCCCAGGAGCCGAACCCAGGCCGCCAAAGCGGAGCACGCCAAACTTAACCACTAGGCCATGGGGCTGGCCCCGGAAATCAGATATTTTTAAACTGACATCTTGTAGTACTCTGGTCGAAAAAAAAAAGCTTAATGATCTTCCTTTATACTCCTACCTCTACCCTGAAAAGTCACAGATGAAAAAGTAAAAATACTTTTATTTTTAAATATCATTAACTTTAAAGAGCTTATTGATAGGTTCCCTTCAGTATTCCCAGAAAGGCTTTTCAATCAGGCTATTTTAAGGGGAAAACAATCAGAAGATCTGGACTAAATCTAAAGTAACAGATACGCAAGTCACAGAGCTAATTGTTGATGATCTAGTCGTGGAAGAGTTTAATGACACAGATATCCTGTCACAGGCTGGTGACAATGACTATTCTGACGTGGCTGGCACTGGGGTCAGGGCATTCGCAAGTGAGCTTTTGTGCATTTCCCTGATATTGTAAATATGAAGGTTTGGAGTTTTTTTTAAATTTCAACTTATTTAAACAAAACAAAATAAGAAAAAAAAACAGTTCACCTATTTCTCCCACCTCTAACCCCCTCATATTATAAATATGAGACTCCACTTAGCACCTTTCCAGGCCAGGAAGGCAGCCGTAGTGAACTGCCTGATCATCATCATGTATCAAACTTGGTCTGCTTCAAGTCACTGTGCAAACCTTTGTGTGCTCAGGCCCCTGGTTCTCTGCATTGTCTTCCCAGCTCCTAAAGCAGCCCTTTCCATCACTTCTCTGTGCATGTGCCGCCATCTTTCTTGTTGCCCCCTTTTCTCTCCACTTAACAAGCAATGGTATCAGTCCTCTCTTCTCCATCATTTTAGTTCTAATAAGTTTTTTTCCTCCAAATGCAGGACAGTCATTATGCCAGTGCTTGAAATGACCTTACCAGAGTTCCAGATTTTGTATTCATTGTGTATGAGCTGTTGGTGCTTTGGGAGCCAACTTTTGGATTCCCTAGCAAACGGATGCCATTCTTAAACCATGCGTATTCAGGAGCTGGATTCCCTTCTTTATCTTGACATCGTAGCTCTACCACGGTTCCACTCAGAGCAGAATTGGGTACTTCACACGATGGAACTGCTGGAGCCACTGAAGGATGGAAATCAAATGGGATTGGTTATTTGTACGTTAAACAAGGATTTTAACAGCCAGGTAAAGATGGACTTATCGGACACCTGTGAGAGAGATTGGCTGCTTGTTCAGGAGACCTATTTCCTTTCTTCAGGAGCACACTTCTAGACCACATTTGCCAGCCCCCTTGTAGCCAGATGGGGTCATATGCATAAGTTCTAGTCAATGAAAAGTGGGGAAAAGTGACATATGCCATTTCCAGGCCTGACCCGTAAAAGCCTCCTGCATGATTCTCATTCATTCACACCCTTTGCCCCTTCCTACTACCAAGTAGGTGTCAACACCCATGGTGACCTCAGAAAGCCATGTATTGAAGATGCCAAACTTACATTAGGTTGGATTTCTAATGATTTTGTGAAGTAAAGCAATATTGTTCCACCACTATCTCTGCCCCAACTATTTAGAATTCACTATATAAGAAAGAATTTTCTATCATGTTCAGCCACTCACTGAGAGTTCAGAGCTTTGTTGCAAGCATTACGTTAGCTTCTACAACAGCTATTATTTTTTAGATAAACAGTCTACTTTTTCCTCACCAATGGTTTTAATGCTTCATTACCAACTATATTCAAAAGAAGTCAAATCTGAATATATTTTTCAGGCCTGGTATTCAAACTAAAATCCCACTCTGCCTAGAACTGGCCAAGTTAGAAAATACCTGAGTTAGGGTTATTCTGATCCCAGGAATTTGTAAAGTAAATCAGACATTACTAGGTGACTTAAATTCAGGAAAACCCAGAATTCCAAGTTGTAGGCAGAATTCCAAGATGGTCTCCCAAGTTCCCCAGTCCTGGTGTATACACACTTTCTCTCAGTTATTCAATCAAACATTAATGTAGGTACTACTCTGAAGGGATTTTGGAGATGTAATTAAGGTCCCAAATCCAGTGTCTTTAAGATAGATTATGTAGATGAGTCTGACCTAATCACATGACCCCTTTAAAAGCAGTTTTCTCTGGTTGGTCACAGAAGGGAAAGTCAGAGATTCAAAGCACAAGGATTCGACATACTTTCATTGGACTGTAGATGGCGGGGGTGCCACGCGGCAAGGAATGTGGTGGCTCTAAGAGTTGAAATGTGGCCCCCAGCTCATAGCCAGCATTGAATGAGGACCCCAGTTCTACCACAAGGAACTGAAATCTTCGAACAACTTGGCAGCCGATTTTCCCCAGAGCCTCCAGACAAGCACTCTGCCCAGCTGATACCTTGGTTTCAGCCTTGTGATACCCCAGGTGGAGAACCCAGCCATGTCAGACTGGACTTCTGATCTACAGAACTGTAAGCTAATAAATGGGTGGTGTTTTAAGCTGCTAAGTTTGTGATCATTTGTTATGTAGCAAAAGAAGAATAATACAACAGGTGAATCTCCTGCAATATTTTCTGAATTAAATTTCTTCTATTTTAGTGCATCACTAGTATTTTAGGAAGAGCCTGGACTATATAGAAAGATGAAGAGGAGTTACTTTATTCTCTTTGCTTGGTAGTTTAACATCTATGGAGAAGCAAAGATCATGTTCCTCCACTCATTGTCATCATGAGCTGTTAACATCTATCAGTGATTCTTTTTTTTTTTTTAATAATTTTTATTTATTTATTTTTCCCCCAAAGCCCCAGTAGATAGTTGTACGTCATAGTTGCACATCCTTCTAGTTGCTGTATGTGGGACGCGGCCTCAGCACGGCCGGAGAAGCGGTGCGTCGGTGCACACCCGGGATCCGAACCCTGGCCAACAGCATCGGAGCGTGTGCACTTAACCACCAAGCCACGGGGCCGGCCCTATCAGTGATTCTTACAGTAACTAAATATATTGGTTTTTGAGTTAACCCCATCAGGATCCAAATCCTGGTCCAGACACTTCCCGGCTCTGTAGCCTTGGGAAAATCATTTAGCTTCTATTTCCTCATCTGGAAAAAATCAAGTTGTCAGTGAAGATTAAGTAAAATTAGATATGTGAAAGAGCCTAACACATACTAGCTGCACAATAAATGCTAATTTCCTTTCTTTACTGAATAACTTCTAATATTTCCCCTGGCCTACTCTTTTGTTTTATTGCTTTTCTATCATCTCATGTGATACTATTTTATTTGGCAGGAGAAATAATACATATACTGAAAGCTATTGAAAAATAAACTCTTGGGGAAAATGCTCCTATGTATAGTGTAGGACTGTCAAGATTTGCCTCAACCTTAAATGAAAAGAGATTTCATCATAATGAATTAGTAATAGTAAAATGTCATCAGCGTATGAGATGAAGGGGAGAAATAGCCGAGACCTTGCAGGAAAGGTGGTGCTGGTGGTCTCTGTAACTGCGGCCCTGAGTTGCCTCACTGCCCCAGGGCTGGGTGATGGGGATGACAGTGGGGAACAGTCATCACATGGATACAAACACATCACCTAGTACTTCTAGAGTGACCGTATCCTCTTCCAGGTTTTGGCCTTGCTCGGATGGGGCACTAACTTCACAACGATATTTCCCGGCATCATTTCTTGTAACATTTTTGATCCGTATACTGAAATCTATCATCTCAGCTCGATGTTTAAAATCACCTTTTAGAAAAAGAAGATAATGATGTTAATCATAATGCAAATAACTTTCCATATACTACCTTCCTCAAGTCACTTCATTTAGTAACCAATGGATTTATTTTCCTATTAATAAACTCAATTTAAAAACTTAAAAATTGTACTTGGGTGCTACTATTTCAAATTTCTTTCTTTCTTTTGTTTTTTTAGAACATACTGTTCACAAAAGAACATTCAGTTCCATATTCTCATATTTTATTTTAAAGAATTCAACCATCGTTCTTGCATCACTCCCTCTCTAGTATGCTTATAAAAATATTCCCATCTTTGGGCCCGTCGCTGGCATAGCGGTTAAGTTCGCATGCTATGCTTTGGCAGCCTGGGGTTCAAAGGCAGATCGTGGGCGTGGACTGATGCACCACGCATCAAGCCATTCTCTGGAAGCATCCCATGTACAAAATGGAGGAAGAGAGCACAGATGTTAGCTCAGGGCCAATCTTCCTCAGCAAAAAGAGGAACATTGACAATGGACATTAGCTCATAGCCAAGCTTCCTCACAAAAAAAAAAAAGAAAATTCCCATCTTCAAAAGATACTGGAGGGCCGGCCCGGTGGCGCAAGCGGTTAAGTGCGCACGCTCCGCTTTGGTGGCCAGGGGTTTGCAGGTTCGGATCCGGGGCGCACACTGACGCACCGCTTGGTAAGCCATGCTGTGGCGGCATCCCATATGAAGTAGAGGAAGATGGGCATGGATGTTAGCTCAGGGCCACTCTTCCTCAAGAAAAAAGGGGAGGATTGGCATCGGATGTTAGCTCAGGGCTGGTCCTCCTCACAAAAAAAAAAAAAAAGATACTGGAAAACCTAGGTTAATTAGCTAGAACAGTAACTTTACATGTTACATGTAAGTGGCCCAAATGATCCCACCACAAAAGAAAAGATGAAGGGGGTCTTAAAAACATTCTTTTGCTTAGTTTTTGCTAGTAATGTTCATGGAATTAAAATAGTGTTTTGCATAACGTTCAGGTGCCAGAATGGCAATTGTAGAAAATTCAAGTAAAGACAGCTGTGCAGAGGGATATTTTACATTTTCTATTAACTTTAAATATTTGTTCACTTGTTTAATTCTTTAAAATTAAAACAATACATAGCATTTAAAAAATGTTTATTATACTTCTTAAATTATATTTCCAACTTTTAAAATGTTTATAATGTAAAATTTCAAGCATACACAAATTAGAGAGTAGAGTAAATGAACCTCAATGTACCCACCACCCAGCTATAACAGTAATCAATGTATGGCCCATCTTACATCATCTGTACCTCTAACCACTGGATTATTTTAAAGCAAATCCCAGACATCATAGCCTTTCATCCATCATTATCAACACTTTACATTAAAAGCTCATTACCTATTCAACAGCAAGAGTAGGGAGTAGAGAGAAATGTATAACAAATAAAAAATAAAATAAAAAAGCTCTGGATAAAGGTAGTCATATTTTCTGTCCCATAAGTCTTAACTCCCTAGGCTTCTCAGTGACGGCCCAGCTTTCCCGATGGAGATATGGAAACAGGGTGAAATTATTATAACTGAGAACTGACCCTCCATCCCAACCCCGCACCATCTTTTCTTCCTTTCTCTCAAGAGTTTAATTTTACTGGGACAGCAAAAACAATTACATTTTACATCCTTTAAGACTGAGCTGAGAAATGAAGGGTCCAGGGCCTCAACAGAGTTCACCTACTTCCATTCTCTGTCTTCTGTTTCTGTGGTTCTTGTGTTCTAGGTCTCAGTCACTGTTGGTTTCATCTCACGCTTACAGAAACACATTTTCAGTAATCAGCCCTGTGCTGTTCTCATTTGTAAGTTAAAGGATCCAGGCTGTACTTGTGTTCTCTTGCTCTCACCTCGTCAAGTCTATAGCTTCTTACCTTGAAGAGCCTGTTGATAGTAGACAAAGGAGACACTCCGCCCCAGTTTCTTCCACTCTAATCTGGAGGAAATGGTCTTCTTTGGATATTTACAGGCTAAAATAACCTCTAGGAACAGTGACAAAAATACTTGTTTTCTAATTGTCCTTATAAATTTATATTTTACTTAACAAATTTTTAAACATCATTAAGTTGTTTCTTTATATTGCCATTCATGCATTCGTTCATAAATTACCATGTTGGCTTAAACCAAAGATGAATTAAAAGCATTATAACTCTTCCACATAATAATTGTGTGACACTGTGCTAATTTCCCTAGTTCTTAAGCCTCAGTTACCATCTGTAAAAGAAGATAGTATCTCACAGATTTGTTGTGAGCCTTCAAATACAATAATATATGCAAAGCACACACGCCTGGACATAGTAAGTACTTTACAAATGGCAGCAATGATTAATTATTTATCTTATTCTTCCCAGTCTCAGTGTTCAAGGAGTTCATAGTCTGGTAGAAGAGGCAAATAAGATAATGTAATTTCAGTCCAACCTGATGAGTGATAAGATGGAGGTGAGCAGAGAGTGCTTCACACCTAGTGCCTAAGAAAGGCACTTAGACCAGCCCTGGCCGTCGTGCTGTGGAACCCACAAACATTCCCTCAACATGCTACATTCTCACTTAGATCCCTTCTTTGCTAACCCTCCCTATGAATACGTTAATACAAACCCAATATGGTCTTCAAATACATCATTGATTCCTACCCCTTAACTCTATCCAGATAAATTATTAAAAGATTTAACCTTGGCATCAAGTTTAACTGCCTCACTGGAGCTCACTAAGGTTGCTTTATTACAGGAAATTTACTGCTGTTATGTCATTAAAGAATTCCTGGAACCTCTGAAGGAACCCCTCTTGTAACTGTCCAAACAAGATGACTTAGGAGGGAAAAATCCAGTGTCTGTCTGCCAGCTGCTTCATGTTGCCAAAAGGAAACCCCCAGTTCGAAGTATTTTTAAAGTATGTTTCAGCCAGGCTCTCGAGTGTCAACTTCATATTTCTGAGACTATTCTTCCCCCGCAATGCATATAGTTTGACCTAAAAAGCACAGTATCTTCGACTAGAAGACAAATTATGTTAAAATCCTTTCCATACCTCTTATTTTGATGTTAAGCAGATTTAATGTTATTTTTAAAAAGAATTCAGGATATTACATGGTATGGTAGATCAGACAGCAACACCTATAATATTATCCTAGGTTTTATTAAAAATATACACACAGATGTAGACAAAAAGAGTATATGAATATGTACTCTTTTTGAATATGAAAATATTAACCCAGTGATGCTTTCTGTGTGATAGAATTATGATTTTTCTTTTTGTTATATGTAGTTTCTAATTTTCTTTTTAGTTGCACACATATTGCTGGAAATATAGAAATAGAATAAAAGGTAATGGAAAACAGAAAGTAAGACAGAAAAAAGAAAGGCAAGGAAAAAAACAAACAAACAAAAGTTGTTTTCAAGGATGTCTAAAGTTTTTAAAGCAGGTTTTAGATTCAAAGAGGCATCATTTTATAGTGGTGTTTACAATTATGCTCCAAAGACAAACGCGTGCTGAGGGACTTGTCTGAGGAAACACGGTTCTGTTCTGTTGATTAAGGAGAATGGGTGGTGACCTTCCGGAGTCTTGAGTTTTAGATAGGTTTCCTTCCCGTATTTTGTTGAGTTTCCAACAATTAAACACACACCCACACTCATATTTAGCTCACACTCCTAGGTCTTCAGAATAAATTTATATTCAAATAATCACATTGTTTCATGTATTTAACTAGATACACACACACGCCCCTTTTGGTAAATTCTTCCTGATTTCTGTACTCATTGCTCTATGGAAAATCTCTGGAGAAATTATATTTCAAAATGTCACCAATGGTTTTCCTAAGTGCAGTGACTCCACTCCAGCCTAACTCTCATTGACTATGTAAAATGTGGAAAAATAGTCTATCCAATTCGTCCAAAATATATTGAGTACCGACTGTGTGTTCAGCATTGTTCTAGAGCCGTATCAGTGAGCAAAACAAAGATCCTTGCCCTTTCGGATCTTACAGTTTGCAAAGGGAGTCACGCACACGAGGAACATCGTGAAGTGAATTATATAGAACGCTGGGAGGCGATGAGCACTATGGAACGAGAGTAGGCACAGTATAGGAGGGTCGGGAGTGCTGTGGGATGGAGTGCCATTTTACAAAACAGTCACAGTTCATCTCATTTAGAAGGTAACATTTAACCAAGACTTAAAAGAGGGAATTAGAATTCCCTAGAATTCAAATTTAGAATTCGCCATTTAGGTTCTTTGGGAGTGTTCCAATCAAGGGAATAGCCAGTGCCCAGATCCTAAGGTGCCAACACCTTGACCTCCAGAACTGTGTGGAACAGTAGATCTACTGGACTCATGGGGTCAACTCTGAGGATAAAGAACCAAGTGAACTTAGAAGCTAACTACCACGGATTCTGCTTTCTCTTTTCAGCTGACACTCATCACCCATGGCCAGCATGATTCTGTATCTAGTGCTCAGGATGATTATGCGATAATATAGTGGTTGAAAGCACAGGCTTTGGAGCCAGACCTCTGCCATACACGAGGTGTGTGATATTGGGTAAATTACTTAACTTTTTTTGAAAATTATATTCACATCTGTAAAATGAAAAAAAAATAACAATACTCATCTCACAAAGTTGTTGTAAAGCTTAAATGAGATAATGTATTTACATACTTGGGTGCACATGGTGCTTTGTATGTGCTCCATAAATGGTCATTATTATTTTCACCCATGAGGAACTTCTCTGAGTTGTAGCTGTAAGCTTGCCTTGACGTGATAGAAATCCACGCTTTAAACATCATAAATTTACGTAAAAATCATTCAAATTTGAACTAAAATGTTACCTCTGTTTAGACAGCAAAGAATATAATATAGACATAAATCATATTTTCTCAAAACAAGGCATATTAAAACAGAAAAATACACCAACTTTTTCTATTAATATGATTATTTCATTGCCAAAAGTATGTTTCCTTTGGATTGAGAAAAGATAATTCTTTGTTTAGAAAAAGCATTAGCAATGACTATTTTTGCATGTAGCAAAATAGTCACTTGTAGGAATCACATGGATAAAATCATTGTGAATTTGAATTTTTCTAGGATTCTGTACTGCTGACTATCTTCTGATTTTATCCCCTGTGCTCAAGGCAAAAATCATCAAAATCTTACATAACACAAAAAGAGAACGGATACTACCACCTAGTTCTGAAGAATTATCATAAATTATTTCTGTGAGGAAAAGCATGCTATCAAGCTCTGACTTATAGCTCTCAGGGTTGGATACTCTCTGTCCAAGGCTGCTCACATAATTTATAAGCCTGGCACAGCCACCCTCATTTCACCCTCATTCTGCTTTTGGCACTGATATGGGAAGTGATACAGAACAGAAGTACTGCAAAGAAGGAATTAATTCACGATTTGTTGACATCAGAGAGACAAGACACAAAAAATGGAATCAATTGCGTGGAACACACATACACAAATATACAAATCATAAAATATTTTAGACTTTAACTAAAATTAAGTTACTGCATTAAATATCCCAAAACTAAAATGTGGACGAAGATAGAAATTTATTTTTGCTTTATGGAGAGCCAAGTTGGAATGACTGGGGCACATACAAAATGGAATCAAAATGTAATTCTTAATTAAAGGAGCAGAGGTGAAACAAAAAAATAGAAAATACTTATTTGGGAGTAAGTAAGATTAACAGTTGATTGCAATAAATTATAGAAGGATTTTCTACATTAAAAATAAAACATACATTAAAAAGTCATGTAAATGGTATAGGGTTTTAGTTTGGAGTGATGGAAATGTTTTGGAACTAGACAGAGGTGGTGGTTGTACCATATCGTGAATGTACAAGATGCCACTGAATTGTTCACTTTAACATGGTGGATTTTGTTATGTGAATTTCACCTCAATAAATTTTTTTTTAAGTAACGTAAGACTAAAGAATATAACATTGGCATCCTAATTCAGATATCACAGCATAGGGCCTGGGGGCAGGGATGTGTTTCCATGGAAACCAGTTGGACCCAACAGTAAGAACCTCCAGGAAAGTAAAAAGTAGGAGAAATTAACTTCACCTCCTTTGTCCTTCAGGGACATCCTGACCCTTCTTTTCTCACTGTGCTCACTCTTTGGGCCTTTCCGTCTCCTTATCGGCATCTTGTTCAGCCTGTCCATCCTCTCTCTAAGAGCTCCACAGTCCCAAATTGCTCCCAATCATTAATTTCCCCTTCCTACCTATCCCCATTTAAAACTAATTCATTATAAAGAGTGTTTTCTTTGCTTAATCATGTAGAATATTAGGACTTAAAAGAAGATTAACCTAAACAGTTACTTAAGTGATTTGTTATTTTTGAATGATGGGCTGATTCCTATTACAGCATATTTTTACTGAGCAAGTGCATATAATGCTATGTGCCAAGTACTATTGAAAGAACTGGTTAAACACTAATTCATTTAATTCCTCCCCACCCCAGTCCTCTTCTTTACTCTTTCTTTTCTTCAAACCCATCTCTCTTCAACTCTAGAACTTAAGACATACCTGAAGAAGAGGGATCAGACATTTGGAACTTGTCTTAAATGTTTACAATCTCTGGCCTAAACAAGCATCACATTTAAGAAATTGTAATTCTTCTGGTTGCCTAGTAATATTAATTATGTTCTGTAGAAACACAGTAGAAAAGTAGTAGATGGCCAATATGTGAAGTAAACTTACAAAAGCCCTTATGAATTTTTTTTTGATTATTGATCCTTTTCAAAAAATTTTAATTGTAGCAAAATACACATAACAAAATTTATCTTAATAATTTTTAACTGTACAGTTCACTAGTGTTAAGTATATTCACATTGTTGTGCAACTAATCTCTTGAACTTTTTCATCTTGTAAAACTGAAACTTTACACCCATTAAACACCAAATCCTCCTTATGAATATTTTTAAGAAGCTAAAATAAATAACAAAATGGCACTCCAAAATAGGCTATATTAATGTCATCTTAAATACGTAGAGTGGGGTTTGCAGTGTTAATTTCCATTTACCATATCTAGCTGGCTGGAAACTGCAAGATCTCCATCTCCCAGTTTCACAAATTAGATTTGCTTTGTTGCAGATCATTTATGTAAGGAAAGACCTTCTTTGTACATCAGGTCTTTCATTGCATGTCCCCAAATTTCCACTGAGGAGGTGGAGAAAGAGTTCTCAAGGTGGAAACAGCAGGGAAACAGCATTTCAGCCTGAGGAATTAGTATGAGGCAGAGGCTCTAGACAAATAGGAAGATAACATAACACGTCATCCTCGTGAGTCATTTAAATAATATAATCCATGAAAATCAGTAAGGTACTCTACCTTGATACTCTATTGCTGTGACTACTTGATGGTCTTTGGGGGCAGAGAATCCATAGGCCTTATGATCTGAAAGATTAAAACAGATAGGACAATTAAAATAGTACAAAAGGTCTCTTTTTAAATGTTTGAATGGGATGCAAAATTAAAGAAAATTGCCCTAAAGTTTGGTGACAGTTTTACACAATTCATAACAAATAAGTTTTTTGTTTGTTTGTTTGTTTTTTGTGTGGAAGATCAGCCCTGAGCTAACATCCGATGCCAATCCTCCTCTTTCTGCTGAGGAAAACTGGCCCTGGACTAACATCCGTGCCCATCTTCCTCTACTTTATATGGGACGCCGCCACAGCATGGCTTGACAAGTGGTACGATGGTGTGCGCCCGGGATCCGAACCTGCGAACCCTGGGCCGCCGAGATGGGGCGCGTGCACTTAACTGCTGTGCCACCGGCAGGCCCCACAAATAAGTTTTAAAGTACCAAATTAAAAAAACCAAGCCAAACCATATACGTCTCTTCCATTTTCTGTACTGTGGTTTTGGCCTTTAAGCATTTCCTAAAGAAGAACCCATGGATCTATTAGGGCCCCACAACGGACAACACTCTTTCACAAGGCTAATTGTGAACAAGAGCTTAAATCCTTAATTCAGCTTAATATGCAATCTAGTGTCACAGGGTACTGACCTCCAAATAAAAGCTAATTATTTTTAGTGCCTTATTCAAGGGTATAAATTGCTTTAAGAAATCCATGACTATACCTATATAATAAAGAAATGAGTCATTATGATTATTGTGGCTAATGTGATCTGATAGTTATACAATGATGATGATGATAATTATGGTGACATCATCATCACTCCCATAAACTTATACAGAAATTTTCATTTAAAAAAAGTGCTTATACACACTTTTTTTTTTTTTGTGAGGAAGATCAGCCCTGAGCTAACATCCATGCTAATCCTCCTGTGCTTATACACACTTTTTAAAAATTCGATAAAATTCAATATTCAAAACAACCTGGTGTGGTAGGCATTATTAAAACTTAAACAACAAAGTAACAGAATCAGGAATTAAAACTTTCTAATCCAATCTTTGATATGTATCACTCTGTGTTATTTCATTTTACGGAGGTCATTTTTTTTTTTTAATTTTATTTATTTATTTTTCCCCCAAAGCCCCAGCAGACAGTTGTATGTCATAGCTGCACATCCTTCTAGTTGCTGCATGTGGGACGCGGCCTCAGCGTGGCCGGAGAAGGGGTGTGTCGGTGTGCGCCCGGGATCCGAACCTGGGCCGCCAGCAGCGGAGGGCGCGCACTTAACTGCTAAGCTACGGGGCCGGCCCGTAGGAGGTCATTCTTATAGTTCAGTTTAATGACCATGTTTAAAAATAATTTAAATCACTTCCTATAAGTATACATCTCTGAAATATAAATGCTACAAGGGCAAGATTTTTGCCTGTTGTATTCTCTGATATAGCTCGAACACCTAGAACAAGTGCCTGGCATAAAAGCAAGGTACAATAAATATTTGTTGAACAAATGAATGAGACCACTCCTTACCATATACTAATGAGAAGAATCCAGTAAACGGAGTCAGATCAAACTGATACTAATGAAGAGTTCCTGAAGGCAAGCAATTCTTTTGGGAGGGTGTCATAAATATATAATATTGGATTGGTGTTGCTTATTTCAAAATCAGAATAATGCAAAGCATTCTTGCTGGTTATCTTGAGTAAATAATTTAGGCCAAACAATCCAAGTGCCGTCCTCCATTATTCATCTCAAAAATCATATATGAAATAACCTAAGACCAAGTTACACTGATCATAAAAATCTAAAGGTTATTTCTTGAAGATATATTTCTACAGTTTACTAAAATGCTATTTCTCTGCTCACACTATCATCTGTCTTCATACGATTTAATGACCCAGTTTTCACCAAGAGAAAAATGACCTCTCTGTTGCCATATTCAATGGACACTTTTCAGTCTTTATCTTATTTGATCTCTCTGACATCTGACTCTGTTGACTCCTTTGAATTCTAGACTCTCTCCTAGTCTTTGTTCTGTGTCCCTATGGGTTCTTCTTCCTCCTTGTTCTGTCCATCCATCCATCCATCCATCCATCCATCCATCCATCCATCCATCCACTGCTTTTCTGACTCAACTAACTCCTTTCTATATAGTCCTTTATACTCTCATTGAGTCAACTGCCATTTATTTGGTAACAAGTCCTAAATCTGTACCTCCAGCCCTAATCTCTCTCCTGAGATTAAATCCATAGACTCCTCTTTCTGCTGCATATCTATATCTCCATTTCCTATAAGTACCACAAACTCATGGCCAAAACTGAACTCTGCTTGCCCCCAAACTTTGTTTCCTTTCTACAGTTCCCATCATAGCGAAAGGTACCACAATCCACATGTTCACTCTTACCAGAAAATCAGGCATTGTCCAAGATGTATCCGTCCTCTCATCTATTTAACTCATCAGTTTCCGTCTATAGACAGAATTGTGTGCCATCCATGACAATGTTTTGAAATATTTGCCTTTTCCCCTCCTTGCCCTCCCCTACGTTCATGCAGCCAAGTGTTTGCCTCAGGGAAGGCATGTGGGAAGCCAAAATCAGACAGAGAAAAGCAGAGGACCTCCTGCCTCTCCATATTTAGAAACCCTGGCCATGAGGGAAATGGAAACGACTCATAGCTTAGGCAAACATTTGAGAGAAACCATCATGAGTAAAATATGCCTTCTCCCCAGACTCAGGGTAGAAAAGAGGAAGTGAGTTGGATAACATGGACCTTAGGGGGCTCTTAAGAAAGAACAACAATAGCCAACATTTATCAATGTTTTTAAGCACAATTTATTAAGCACTTAGGTGTCAGGCAATAGTCCAAGTGCTTTACAAGTATTAACTCATTTAACTCTCATAACAATTATCTGTGGTAGGGTACCATTTTTATCTACATTTTTCAGTTGGGGAAATTGAGGCACAGAGAAAGTAAGAAACTAGGACAAGGTTATACAAGTAGTAAGTGGTGGAGTTGGGATTTGAACTCATCTAGTCTATACCCAAAGCCCACATTGTTTATTACTCTACTGTACTGGGCCCCACGTCACATTCCCACCAAGCTGAACTACGAGGAAGGACTGTAGATTAACAAAGATGTTAAGTTCCATTGGTCTAATGAAGATGGGATAGGTTGAGAAATTGGTGGTTATAATGAAGGCAAAAGACTGGCTCTGAAGTGTAACAAGAAGGTAGAAGCTAAGAGGCTGTGACTGGAGAGTAGGACACCCAGGTAATCTCAGAGGGAAGGCTCCAGCCAAGGGTTTCTCAGTGTGGACACTATTGACATTTGGGACTGGATCATTCTTTTTTGTGGGAGGCTGTCCCGTGCATCGTAGGATGCTTTGCAGTATCCTTGGCTTCTACCCACTAGATGCCAGTAGCATCCCCGCCCCGCCCCCCCCCCATTCCAAGTCGTGACAACCAAAAATGTTTCTAGACACTGCCAAATGTCCCCTGAGAGTAAGGGTGGGGAAATCATACCTGGCTGAGAACCACTGCTCTAGACTTACAGCTAGGCTGGTTTTAAGAACCAGAAATAGAAATAAACAAATAAACTAAAGGTGGGCAAAGAACCATGTATTCAAGGATTTTGAAAATTCCTATGAGATCAGAATTTCTTAACTCTGAAATAATTTATTATACTTTGGGAAAGGAGAGACAAATCTTTCAAACGCCATGGCATTTTAAAAAATTTATTCATCTATATGTACATTGATGTGTAAATTAGTCTTCCATTGTGCTAGACTTTATCACTCCTAAGGAATACATACTATTCTGGATAATTTTATTTTTCTCTTCTCTCTCCCTTAGAAGCCTGGACAGCAAATCTAACTGTGAAATTAAAAATCTCAAAAACCTACAGGCCTCAAATGGCTAACTGTTAGCTCTTCTGTCTAACACTGTTCAACCATTTAGGTTGTATATCTTTAAATTGCAAACATCTTCATTTGGGAAATTGACAAACCTGGTGTCTATGTGAAGAATGTAAGACTGAACTGATCCTTTTTATTGACAGCTGTAAATATATTTGTAAAATACAGTGAGCCACGTGGCTCAGTCTTAGAGAGGTGTCAAGGCCACCAAAGAATAATTTTGAAATAACTCTTTTGTTTGTGTATTTCAAAAACCATGAAGGGGTCCAAGCAATCTTTTTTTTTTTTTTTTTGGTGAGGAAGATCAGCCCAGAGCTAACATCCGAAGCCAATCCTCCTCTTTTTTGGCTGATGAAGATTGGCCCTGGGCTAACACCCATGCCCATCTTCCTCTACTTTATATGGGACGACACCACAGGATGGCTTGACAAGTGGTGCGTCGGTGCATGCTGGGGATCCGAACCCGCAAACCCCGGCCACCGCAGCGGAGTGTGCGCTTAACCGCTGCACCACCTGGCCGGCCCCCCCCCAGGCTATCTTTTTAAATATCCGTTTTCCCTTTTCCATATACTTTTGTCACATACTTGAATATGTCCCATATTCCTCTGAACCCCATCCCTACCCGTCATGCCTTTCTTTTCCAGCTCCTCCTCATCTCCCCCAGTTTTATTTTGTGGAGTCCAAAGGTAGGGCCTGGCTCTTCAGAAAGCAGGGGAGGGAAGAGACTAAACTGACTAAGCCGGAATCCTCTTACGTGAGCTGGAGAAAAGACGGGCCCTTATATGTACTTGCCGCATCACGCCTACATTTAAATGACATGATAGCCGAACGTGTTGCCAATGATTCTGATTCCAAACCATTATTCTGTGAAACTTTCAAATTGCACTTTGAAAAAGTCTCTTTTCTCCTCTAGCAATGTGTAAATTAGTGCCCGCAGAGAAGTCCTGATTATGACTGGCGTTTCTTGCGATTTTTGAACTATTTTAGTACACTTTTAAGACAAAACAATGAAGACGCATATTCCCTAGAAACAGTGGAGGGAAAAATCTGGGCAAAATAGGAAAAGATAATCTTTGTTCCCACCACATTATCATATCTTTGAACTTTTCAAACACCAAACTGCCTAC